TTTGGTTTAACTAATGCACCTAGCACGTTCATGCGGCTTATGAATCATGTTCTGCGAAATCTCATTGGAAAATTCGTTGTCGTTTACTTTGACGATATCTTAGTTTACAGCAAGAGTTTAGTAGAGCATGTTAAACATTTACGTTGTGTTCTTGACATACTGCGAGGCGAGAAATTATACGCTAACCTTAAGAAATGCACCTTTTGCACTGATAAGGTTGTTTTCCTAGGATTTGTTGTCAGTTCACAGGGCATACACGTCGATGAGGAAAAGATAGAAGCCATCAAGAGTTGGCCAACTCCTAAGTCCACCAGTGAGGTTCGAAGTTTTCATGGCTTGGCAGGATTTTATCGGCGTTTTGTCAAAGACTTCAGCACCATAGCTGCCCCATTGACGGAAGTGATTAAAAAGGATAACAAGTTTCGTTGGAGAGAAGCGCAAGAGAAGGCATTCCAAACATTAAAAGGGAAGTTGATCGACTCTCCACTCTTGACTCTACCTAATTTCCAGAAAACATTTAAGATCGAATGTGATGCTTCTGGTGTAGGAATTGGTGCGGTGCTGATGCAAGAACGGATGCCAGTCGCATACTTCAGTGAAAAGTTGAACGGAGCTCAATTGAATTATTCGACGTGTGACAAAGAGATGTATGCAGTGGTGAGGGCTCTGCAAACGTGGCAACACTACTTGTGGTCGAAGGAGTTCGTGATTCACACCGATCATGAATCGCCAAGTACCTAAAGGGACAACACAAGTTGAGTCGAAGACACGCCAAGTGGGTAGAATTCATTGAAATGTTTCCTTATGTTATCCGACATAAGCAAGGTAAGGAAAACATTGTGGCTGATGCATTGTCTAGACGATACACGTTGTTAACTTCTTTGGATGCGAGAATGCTAGGGTTTGAACATATTAAGGAGTTGTACGAATCTGATCAGGAATTCCAAGATGTGTTCAAGGCATGTGAAAAGGTTGCAAGTGGAAAATATTATCGGTTTGAAGGATATTTATTCCGTGAGAATAAACTTTGTGTGCCTAACTGTTCTATGCGAGATTTGCTTGTTCAAGAGGCTCATGGAGGAGGTCTCATGGGACATTTTGGAGTGGCCAAGACCTTGTCAACTTTGCAGGAACACTTCTATTGGCCAAATATGAAGAGAGATGTTGAACGGGTGTGTGGAAGATGCATGAAGTGCAAGAAGGCGAAATCCAAGGTACAACCCAATGGTATGTATACGCCTTTACCGATTCCGAGTGCACCATGGATTGATATTTCAATGGATTTCATTGTTGGGTTGCCTAGAACTAGGACAGGGAAGGATTCTGTGTGTGTTGTGGTTGATAGATTTTCGAAAATGGCACATTTTATCCCTTGTCATAAAACCGATGATGCATCCCATATTGCGGTTTTGTTCTTTCGAGAAATTGTTCGGTTGCATGGCATGCCTAGGACGATTGTTTCGGATAGAGATACTAAGTTCCTAAGTTACTTTTGGAAGACTCTATGGGGAAGATTAGGGATTAAGCTACTCTTTTCGACGACTTGTCATCCACAAACCGATGGACAAACGAAAGTGGTGAATAGGACTCTTTCTACGTTGTTGCGTGCTTTAATTAAAAAGAACCTTAAAACGTGGGAAGACTGTCTACCGCATGTTGAGTTTGCATATAATCGATCTGTGCATAGTGCTACGCGTTACTCGCCTTTTGAAATCGTTTACGGTTTTAATCCACTAACACCATTGGATCTTTCGCCATTGCCGATGAGCGAAATGACTAACCTTGACGGAAAGAACAAGGCTATGTTTGTAAAACAGATTCATGAACCGGCCCGCAAGAATATTGAGTGACGCACGGAGCAATACGCTAAGCAAGCAAACAAAGGGCGCAAGGAAGTTACGTTCGAGCCAGGAGACATGGTGTGGATTCATATGCGCAAGGAAAGGTTTCCAAATCAAAGGAAGAGCAAGCTTATGCCGAGGGGAGATGGACCATTCAAAGTTCTCGAACGAATCAACAACAATGCCTATAAGATTGAACTTCCAGGTGAGTACAACATTAGCTCTACGTTTAATGTTGCTGACTTAGCTCGTTTTGATGCAGATGATAATTCGGATTTGAGGGAAAATCCCTTTCAAGAGGAAGGGAATGATGAGGACATCGGGAAGCACGGGAGAGACGACAAGAGAACGGGAGTAGGAGATTCTCAAGCGGATCAAAAGGAGCTCTTAGAACAGAAATTGAAGAGTGACGGTCCCATGACTCGCGCTAAGGCAAAGAGATTGAAGGAAACATTTACAATGCTACTTCAAGAAGAGTTTGGGCTTCAAAATCAAATGGGATCAGCCCAAACTCAAGCCTATGCTTTGGTTAACTTACTTGGGGCCCAAATCAGCCCAAATGAAGTAAAATAAGCCCAAAAAAGTGCTTGAAAAACATGGAAGAAAAGGAGCTACGAATTCTGGTCATTGTGCAATAAATGTGGTCATTTTTTGACTACATTGGAACTATAATTGCCTTGTTTTTAGTCTTCTTTATTTTCAGCAAACTCTTTTATTTTTCTTAGTTTTTCAATGTTTCTTTCCTTATAAAAAGGGAGCATCTATCATGTAAAACTCAGATTATTGAATTGAGAGGTTTCTTCTTATGTTCTTGAGTACTAACTCTAAACTTCGTAAGGTTTGAGGTAGTGTTCTTTTGACTTATCAAACACTTTTACCACCAGGTGTTTGTGGCGTCTTCGCTAGTTTCAAAGGTTCTCTAACCGGGTCTGGATTGGGTTTAGGGCGTTCTTGTGACTGAAACAAGTCCTAGGTTCGGTTCACGTGTCATTAGTGGGTTGTTGAACATCCATCTACTATCCTTTTTACCTAATTCTGAGATTCGTCGATCCGGGTTCGTATCATTTGGTATTGTGGAGGACTCATTGTTTTGTACTTCAGTATTCGAATTTAGCGATGGATTGAACATAGATATTGGTTATGAGTTTGATAATAAGCAAGACGCACCAGAATATATACGAAAGGGTTCAGTTAAGGCTTGTTTCAGCTATGTTACACTGAAGTCTGACAAGAAGTTGTGGGAAATAAGATGCAAGTTTGCTGGATCAGGTTGTAACTGGAAATTGCGCATCGCATCGCTCCCGAGTTCGAATCGTTTTAGCGTAAGAACACACAATCCAATTCACAGATGCAGACCTGTTTCAGAATCAAAAGAAGCTATGAAGGGTTCATCGAATTTGGTTAGAGATTATTTGAAGGAAGAATATGCTGGGATCCTGGAAACTCCTGCTGCCCCAGAATTAGTACGACGAATGAAAACCAAGTACGGGGCAACTGTTTCGTATTTGATGGCATTGTGAGGAAAGCACAGTGTTGAAAAAGAGATTCGCGGTAATCATGTCGATCATTACATGAGGCTTTCTGGGTGGATGTCCATGCTGAGAGAAAGAAATCCTGGATCCATAGTGCGTCTTGAGTTGGACAATGATCAGAAAAGTTTCAAGTACCTATTTATCGCGTTAAGTGCAACTATAAAAGGATGGAAGTATATGCGTAAAGTTGTTGCTGTTGATGCGACATTTTTGACAAGCGAATATAAGGGAGCATTGGTCGTGGCAACCGCGCAAGATGGAGAACATCACCAATATCCTTTAGCATGGGGTGTGATCGATAGAGAGAAAGACGCTTCATGGAGGTGGTTTATGAATAGGTTGAGCGAAGTAATACCGGATGGACCTGATGTGGTTGTGATATCCGATAGACATAAAAGTATAATGAAAGCTGTGAGAGAAGTATATAAACAAGCTGATCATGGTTTTTGTGCAAGGCACATATCGCAAAACTTGAAATCACATATTAATAGGGGAGCCGGAAGAAAGGGTTCAAGAGGTGAAACCGTGGCTAAATTGTTTTTTAAATGTGCATCGGAATACAGGGAGAAGGAGTTTGAAGAATTGTACTCTGATTTCAAGAACAGGTATGAATTTAGTGACCAGTGGGACCAATTGGACCAGTGTGATTTTCTCAACGGTGTGACCACTGGGACCAATTGGACCAGTGTGATTTTCTCAACGATGTGACTTGAGTAAACTGATGTGAATATCTCATGATTTTCAGGTATCCCAAAGCGGCGGAGTACATGCAAAAAGAAGAACTTGCTCCGGAGAAGTGGGCAAGGTGTAAATTTCGGACTGAAAGATATAACTTATTAACCACCAATGGTGCCGAATCAATCAACTCCGTTTTGAAGAAGGCCAAAAGGTATCTGCTACTCAGTCTGCTTGATATTTGTGTCTCGAAGACGGTAGAATGGTTCAGTAGGTACAGGGTGGAAGCATGTGGTGCTGATGATTCTCAAAAGCTAACTCCGTATTGTTGGTTGTAATGCTCTAGGATGATCCATGAATGACATTTTGACTTTGTATTGATTCATTGATTTATGAATGCATTACATTCCCGTTATATGATTGGCATGTTTGTTATATTTCGGCATCCTTGAATCATTATCGAATGATTCTAAACACCCTGGTCAGTTATCATTGTGGGAGCAA